TCTGTCATCTTGGGATACTACATGGGAGCTATTTGTAAAGTTTTCAAACTTTTTCTTTTTTTGTTAAGAAAATTTTCCTTTGTTATCTATTCAAGAGGTAGTTTTTGTTTTTTTTTTTTTTTGGAAGTTACAGAAGAATCTTTTTGAGCTGCCGAATTATACTGGGTTTATATGAAAAAAAGAGAAGGGAAATAAATGAACAGGAATTGAAGATGTTAGCGTATAACTGTTTCGTTTTTTTCCTATTTCAGTATGCATATCCAGAGGAAAGTTCGACTTGGCTACAGAAGCTGAAACGGTTTGATCCGTTTGTCATAAGTACACTTCTGTTCCTATTTATTTCTATTGTTACGGTGATAATGCTGTTACACCAGTGTGCAAAAACGTATCGTATGAAACAGTCTTCGAATATATATAATAAAAAGTGTCGACTTTATCATGAGCCTCCGAATCGTATCATACATCCGCTTCGTATCAATGAAGTCGAGGAGACCAAGTCAGTTTTGATGTTTTTGGTTTATATGTATAATAAAACGCAAAGCAGATATTTTTAAAAAATGAACCACTTCTTTTTGCTGTTTTCATTTGTGTAGCAAAAAAATTCAACCTATAGGCAAATATTGTTTTTCTTTTAGTTTTTTTATTTCAGATACGAAACTCCTTGGGAAAATCAACATTATCATCCGGTCCCGTATTATCGTCTAGGAGCTCGAGGTGATGCAACAGTGACATCACCGGTTGATTCGTCGCTGACGAATGCAACAACTGTATCCGACTATGGGTTGTCGTCAAAGAGTACATTCACCAACAACCGGAGATTTTCACCAAGTTCTTCTTTTCAAGGACGTCATGATGACAGTGGTCTTGAATCTGTTTAGGATGCATATTTTTGTTTCTCTGATATCGATTACTTTAGAAGTTTTGTAATAAAAATTAAGGTAAACAAAATGTTTGAACCATAAAAATTTCACTTCAATTTTTTTTTTGTTTTTAGATTTTTTTATTCTCCTTTTTTTTCAGTAGTAATCTTTTGATATGACTCAACATTGAATTGGGAAAAAAATTACATTTTTTTCATTATTTTTAGAATTATCAGTTGAGAATTATTTTCTTCCTTTGATTCTAAAAGAAACTTTGTAGTTTTTAACTTCGTTTTTTTTTTTCCAAATCATTGTTTTTATTGTCGTCGCTGCCGCCGTCGCCATCGTCATTGTTTCGTTGTTGTTCTTCAATTCTGTTTATAGGATACATTTATACATACATATACATATATTTACAATTTTTTTCTTAATGGTAGTCACAACCAATTCCTTGGGAATTTAAAAACAAAGTAAAAGCAAAGGCAAAAAATGGGAAAGAAAGATCAGAGGAAAATTATTAGTGTTAGGAAAAATTTTAATGTTCGTTATGGCAATGAACAAAATTTATTTGCTTCATGTTGCTGTTCAGGGCTTAGTTACGACAGGAAGATAGATACATACAACTGTGAAAAGACTGAATTCTTAGTGGATATATCTGAGAAGGGGTAGCTGAAGGAGGTGGTGGAAAGATGAGACAGCAGAAGCAGCAACATAAGAAGAAGCAAAAAGAAAAAATGGGTAAATAATAGATGAATGGTTTTTAAGTTTTTCTCTTTGGTTGTTTGGAAGCAAAGAACTAGTTCAAATCGACGTCTGTAGCCGTTTTTTTGGTCTTTAAGTATAATTTTGAAATCCAAACTGTTTAGACAGGGTTCTGATATGCCGTTTTTTTCGTCTTTAACATAATTTCTCTTGAAAAAGAAAATGATCATCTGTTTTTTTGTTTCTTGGCTCGTTTACAGTAGCTGATTAATTATGGGTAACCTTATTTAACTTTTTTTTTTCTCTGTAGTACTTCTCATGAACCCAATTATACTTTTTTATGACAAGACACTGAAGAAAGATAGCAGCTGAAAACCGGATAGGGGAGAGAGGGACAAGGATGGATATTTTTGCAAAAATAGCTGTCATATCTTACAGCTGTTTTGATCTACTTCATGTACATACACATAGGTGGATACTATGCAAAAAGTTTTCTGAAGTTTACACGATGGCAAAAATGATAAACGGATGAAAAAAAATGTTTGATAGTTAAGCAGAACAAAGGTTCAAAGTTTAGGAAAAGCAAGAAGGTAAAGTCCAAATTTAAGCTTTTCTTCATGTGTTCTCATATTATCAGATGGATGGATAGAAAAATGTGTATGTAGATGAGGTTTATTTTTTATTAAGTGTGAGTTTTGGAGTTCTTTTTCTATAACTGTTATGTTAAGTATTGTAAACTAAACTTTACCTTAACTTTATACTTGTTGTACTTTGGTTTGATATGATTTCAATGTTTATTTGTGCATCTTTCCAAATTGTATTCTTCAGTTGTTACCATCGTTCTGGTCCCAGTGATTCGGTGCATCTATTCGAAGACGAACTTAATTTTTGTCATGTTTTTTTTTTTTTTACCCAAGTCTTTTTTATTTTTATGTATTTGTGTCTTTGTGTGTATTTTGTGTAAATATGCAATAACAACAACAACAACAACAACAACAAAAATGTTATTAAATCTATTTCAAAACAAAAATCTCATTTTTTAAATGTTTATTTGTTTTGGAAATATAAAAAAAAAGATGATAAAATAAAAGAAAAAAGAAAGAATTTTTTGTTCCAACTTATTCATTCATTGTACTGTCAATTTTGTTTCATTCTCTTGACTTTTCTTTTTACCTGATCATGAGCTTTGCAGTGTTGCTTTTA